GATGTTCCTCATACACTACTAAGAATACCATTTAGAAAATAACTTTGACCCATTTGTCAAAACTTCACAACAACAACAAAATGTGAGGCTGAATCCCTAGACTGCAGCCTCTTCACACACACATGGAGCACATTCTGAATCCCAGGCCTTTCACATCTCTACCAATTAGTCAGAGACCCTGGAAATATGCTGAGGCTCCTTTAAGGTTCTGGAGCTGGAGCTGAGGGTGGAATACTGCCAGAAAAACTAGAAAAACAAATTACATTTGACTTAAGCTTACAAACATTACCAAAAAAGTTTACATTCCCCAGAAAAGTATATAAAATTCAAATACTAATCTTCCAAATCAATGTGAAAAAAGGATCACCTGTCCACTGACTTTTTTTTTAAACTGGCCCATCCACATTTATTACTAAAATGTCCACCTACCCATCTATAAACACAGAATGTCAAAAGAATACAAATTCATTGTGGTAACACCACCACAGATGGTCCTTTGCTCACAATCCAAAGTTTACAGACTGAAAACCGGGAGTGAGGACTGGTGAAAGCATTCTGGGGAGAAGCTCTCTTACTTTTCATTTATTTTCAATATAAAGTTTAAGGCCATTCCAACCACCATCTAAATGGGGAAAAGTTCATTCATTAAGCAAATGTTCACTGAGTGTCTTATTATGTGCTAGTTACTTAATAAATATTTCATACTGGGTTACTAAAAAGCAATAAGTGCACTTGACCTAATGATGAACAAATGACTGATCCTATCCAGAAAAAGGTAGTCTCCTGGGCATACAAACATGTTCTTTAGATGTAGGTTGTGAGAGAAATACAATATAAAATAACCCATCACTCCATCATAGTGATTTCTCACCTTTATCACAAACTTCAAGTTTACTACCAATGACAAGGAATCAACACTCAGAACTGCATCCTACTAAATGAAGCTTCAAAAAAAAAAAAAAAGTTACTCTCCATACAGCCAAAACTGCAAAACATTTACTTAATCTACACTTACTTTTCTTAGGTAATGTGAGGGAGAGCTGTACTGGAAAATTTAAGAGGCATTCTCAACTCTTTGAAGAACTAATCAGGGGAAAATTCTCATGTCTATGCTATTAAAATATCTCCAATTTAACTGGCTATTCAACCCAAATCCTTGAAGTCTTTGGCTTTCCTTAGTTATTAAAATAGTTGTATTTAGGGCATCTTTTTAAAAAATTTGTGTTTTTTTTCCATCAGTATTTTGCCACTGGTTCAACTCTTTTACCCATAAAAATAAATGCCCAAACCTCCAGCTTCTGAAAATAACATCTGGTATGTGCACTTAACAAAAACCTTGAGAGAATGTCCTAGTTTTTATTTAAAACGTTTTCATTTAAAACAAGAAGGCCTTTAGCAAAATTAGACATAAATCAACTTTTACCTTATTAGGAAATTGCTATTTTCAACATTTACCTTAAACCACAACATGGATTTATCTTCTAACCAGTCAGCTTCCTGTCTCTCCCCAACTAGGTTACACTGTAACTTTTTTGAGAGCAAAGGACTACTGGACCCCATGATCTGGTTCTAGCTAATATATTTCACAAACTCTGTTAAGTCTCCATATACACATAAATGTTGCTAGTTTTAAGGCCTTAAGGAATTCTTTAATATTCTAAAGCTAGTTTGATAACAGCAGGTGTCCTTAACTGTTACTACAGTTGTTTACTTGTGAGTTCTCAAAGTGTGGTCCTGAGCCCCTGAGAGTTTCCAAAACCCTTTCAGAGGGTACATGAAGTCAAACTATTTTCATAAACAGTATTGATGTTATTTTTATTGTTTACCCTCGTTCTCTCACAAGCATGCAACGGAGTTTTCCAGAAGCTACATGATGTATGGCATCTCAAGAGACAATGCAAAAAGCAGATATTAAAATCCAGCTGTCTTCTAGTAAGCCAGACCAAAGAAAAGTTGCAAAAAATTAAAATACTGCCACTCTTCCCACCAAATTTTTGTTCTGAAAGTAGTTATTTTATATAAAGTATTATTTCTGTTAACAAGCAATGGACTTACTACTGTTAACTGTAAATGATTTAATAAATACATATTTAAATTTTTTCTTTTAATTTCTAGTTCAGTAATATCAACAGATATAAGCCACACAAACAAAAGGCTCTTTGGGTTCTCAATAATTTTTAAGAGCATAAAGGTGCCCTGAAAACAAAAAGCTTGAGAACCACTGTGGTACACAATTACACCGCAAATACAACAGAATGTACCCAGTGCCTTCCATAGATAAGAAGCTCAAGTTAATTCTAAGGCATAATTACCTCTTACACCGCCTAATCTTGTTGAGTAATACATCTCCTTGTAAAACATAATTCAGCATAAAACCAGTCTATCCTAGGCCCTATTTAAGGGGCTTTAGATTTTTCGATCCAGAGTCCGCTTTATAAAGATGTTCTGATCCATAAGACCACCTATAACTTGAACAATGTGTAGGAGTTTCTCAAAGTTTTCACAAACATTACCTTGTTCATCCTAACAGCAACCTGTGAGGTAAACGTTTTCTTTAACAGATGACATAATGAAACCAAGCCGACACTCAGAGGAAACAGAACTACTTTTCAAGGATGTACTGCTACCTCGTAGAGCCTAGGATGTTGGTCTTTTGCAATCTGCTTGGCCGCCTCAAGGCTGTTTTGCTGTGGTGTGACTGCAAGCTCCCAAAGAACACAAGGCAAGGGCATTACTTTTATGGTCCCCCTGCCAAAACAGAGATTTCCCCCTCCCTAATAAGAAGGCAGTCAGACTCAATACCCGGTCACCACATTATTCAACACACTGGCTACGCTTTTGGTGCCCTACCAAAAAGGAAAAAAAGAAAAAGAAAAAGAGAAAGGAAGAAATCCAAGTGTTGGAGAATAAATACCAGCATACATAATATTCCAAGATGATGAATTACTTAAGGACTCACAGATTTAATAATCATTTAGTCACTGAAACAACAGGCAGGCAAGAACAAGATCAAGCTCAATACAAAAACATGAGATTACATCAATGAATGGATGCCAATAGGTTAAAATGGGAGGCCCACACGAAATGGGTTCAATTCACAGCACATGAACAGAAGGGGAAAACCCACACAAAGGTGCGAAACTAGCTTTATTGGTTCTACAAACCCAAGCACATGACCAAACCACCCTCCCAAAGCAATGCCACAAACTTTGTCGCAAGATGCAAAGATGCCATCTTACCCCTTAGACACAAACCACTAGTCCCCTAGGGCCAGACATACTAGTTTGTTCTTTTTATCAGAAGAAACCTCTTGGTTATGCTCCATTTTCACTTAACTTCCACAAGAGATACTCAATTTTCTGCATTTTCTTTCCACAGACAAGTGGACACTCTGACTGACAAAGGCAAGACTGACTCACAACAGGGTATCTGCCACTTACATAAACTCTTTCCTTTTTTTAAATGCATGTGTCCAGTGTGGCTATTTTAAAATTTGAAGTGATTTTTACCCAGAAAAAGGCAGAAGTGTGCTGTCGGCTTTGTATCCCTGTAGTTTAATCTCGGATGATCAAGAGTAATTTCATCATTCCTCATGAGGTATGCTTTTCCTAGTGTTTACTTTGGTCATTTTTCTTTTCAAATCTCTTTTGGAAAAATTAAGTTACAGTTATAGCACCACAGCTATAGCTACAATTATAATTAATGCAACACCAACTAATTTGTAAAGCAGTTTGATACACCTTATTTGTTGTTTCATGCTCAACATTTACAGTGGAAGAAACATTCGTAGGTAAATCTCTGCACCCTCATAAAAGGACTGCAATATTGCACTGTGAAACCAATTAACCGGTTAATCTTTATAGGCTTCATGCAGAAAAAGATAATCTGACTTTACAAAGGCAAGCACAGCTTCAAACCTCTGGGAGCTCAAGGAAACCGCACTTACTTCTATTCCTTATCCTACAGTACAATTTTCTTTGTGGCGTTACCTATGTTTTTCTCCAAGGACATAATCATCATATTGAAGTAACCTGTCAAAAGTGTTAAGGCATTCTCTAAAGTATCTTCCCTGCTGCAACCCACAAGGAGAAATGTCACACAGCTAAATCGTATCATTGCTGTTTTCTTGCCTTTATTTCGTCAGACGAACTTAAGATTTAAAAAAAAAACCCCACAATTCGAATTTTACACTGCAACCCACGCTACCAGTGATCATCTCAAAGCTAATAAACAAAGACTGCCGGCGGCACCAGGGCCCTACCAGGAAGTAATCAAAGCAGTGTGGCCGGTGCGACCCTAAGTCGCTAGAGCAGACAATAAGAGGGCACTGGGGCTTCCAAGGGACCCGGCAGAAGGAGTTAAGATGCTCAGACAACGCAAAAGCATTACATAAACCTAACAACTGTCCTAAAGCACATGAACTCGGGAATCCCAAAGCAATTTCAGACAACCCCAAAGATCTGAAAGGCGACTCGAGCCGCCCCTCCAAAGCAGCTGCTCAATCAGCCTTCCGAGCTTTTAAGCCCGAAGCCTGTTTTCAAACTTCACCCTCCCTAGCTGATGAAAGACTCCGACCTCGGCCGCCTGAGTTCGGAGCACCTCCTGGGGCTCGGGGCTCCCGCCCGCCCCGCGTGGATCCGGTTGCCGGAGCATGCGGGGAAGGGAAAGGAAGCGGGGCCGGGGCAGGTAGCGAAGGGCCCCAGCGCGCCCCGCAGCCCAGACAAAGCTTCGCCCCGAGAGCGGCGCTCTTCTCGTGCGGTCGAGGACGAGACGCAACTCGAGCCCCGCCACACGTGCGGCCGCCTTGTGCGGGCAGGACACCCACCCCCGCC